GCGCCGCAGCGGGAGCCGGAGGAGAAGGCGGGCGCCTGCTGCACGTTCATCTGCAGCCCTGCAGCCTGCGGGGGGGGAGGCTTCGATGGCATTTCAGGGACGCCAATCGCCTGTAGAGAAGACCCACAAATCCCCAGAGTTAGGCATTTCCACTTCAAACCACCTTTTTATACTCTCTGCTACACTTCTGAGGATTTGTGTCAGGCCTATGAGCCACGTAGCAGAAAATATTGGCTGCAACACCAGTATGTGTTGTGTATGTCCAGTAGGCGTTGACTGCATTGGGACAATTTGGGATCACGAGGCAGATGTGGAGGAAGAATCATTCAAGAGAAGAGAGTAACTCTGGCATTAGTGCTAAGTGACTGCAAATAAACCCAGAGTTTGCAGTTTCTACAGTTTTGAGAATGAGGAGTGACAGGGGAGGATCTATCAGGAAAGACAAGCGGCCACATAAGCTAGCTGAATCTCAGGTCCTGCTTTTAAGGAAATTGCTACAAAGTAGTATGACGTTCAGGTTCCACTGACTTTCAGCCATGGGTGATGTCTGTCATGATGACTTTTCCTATCCTTTGATAAAAACATTCCCTAATTGCAGTGTGAGAAGGAGCCACATTCACATCTTAGGGCAGCTGCATCTCTGCCCGGGGGGTGGAAGGTGACCTTGTCTTTACCTTTCTCTGCTCCTGGGGAGTTTTCAACTTGAAGGCAGGGTTTGCATGCCCATTTCCAGAGGTATCACTGGCAACAAGAGAAAAAGAATAACTGTTATTTCCTTGATACATTTTCTCATTGTTCTTTGCTGTATTTTCCATTATATTTTAACTGAAGTAAAAAAAAAGGATAATAAATACTCAACTAAACCAATATAGCAATAAATCCATTTAGTTGTACTCCTCAGAGCCTTTGCAACTTCTCTTCTGTCCTGACACTGAAAGGAGGTGGTTGCAAGCAGACAAGGCACTGACAATTTACCTGAACTGTGGTGTCTTCTTTAGAGAACAGATGGCAAATTTATGCCAGCACTTCAGATAATAGAATAAAAACATTATTCCAATGAGAAGAAGAATGGGAGCCAGGACTGCAAGAGTTATCACAACCGCTGAAGGGCCTGAGGGTAAGAAAGTAGAGTTAGTTAAATGGAAAACACTCTGCTCCCAGTCTAACTCAAGCCCTTCTGAAGCGCCACCATGGTAGAGTTGGTCGCACTCACCTTCAGGCATGGGGGGACCACTGTCCAAGCTTCCTCCAGTCCCCGGCTTGTTGCAAAATGGGGGGGCCCACCCCTGGTTGCAGTGACAGTTCTTGTTGTTATTGCAGACCTGGATGGGAAGACTCAGAGACTTTAGTGTCAGCTACTAAAGAATCTGCAAGTTAAAAAAAAAGTAAGCCCTTGCTGGATAAAATACTATAGAGGAAACTCAGTGGCATTAACAGAGAGTTAAGTTCATGGAAACATTTTCTTTTAAGGGAGTGACAGTGCCTTTTGTTGCCTCAGAAATTCTCCCTTTCTCCAAAAGACAATGGTTCTTCATCTGAAGTGCCACTAACTTGGACTCAGGAGAGAAGCAGCATTTAGAAATGCTGTTTCCCTTGTTCTTATCTCTAAACTGAAGTTCAGAGTCTTCCCTTCCATCCAGTGAAGATTTCTTATTGTTCAGGTTTATTGCTTGGCCCACTGCTATTTATCAGGTAGGCAGCCCCTGGAGGGAGGGCTGGTCCCTCTGACTAAGGATCTCCTGTGCCAACTCCAGCATTTCATTTGCTTCTGCGGAATAGCTGACAATCACTTCTTACAGCTTCATGGACTGCAAGAAATGAAGCAAACATGAATCAGAGAGTGGGGTGAGTCCCCCTCCTTGTGAGGTACACCACGGGGCCTCCCCAGCTGCTCAGGGAGGCACGTGCTGCTGCACCACTCCTCTGCATTCCCTAACTGGACCATGAAGATGGAGAGATGCTGATGTTTTATGCCAGAAATATGAGCAAAAGGTATAAAAAAAATTCTCACTACCCTCTTCTTTCTATCCCCTTGAGGCACAGCACAGTACTAAACATTACTTTTTACTATGTTTTTCCCTCAGTAAGTCAGATTATTTTTTTTAATACAATCTAAACTGAGCCCAGAAGATTTTCTTTAAGATTATCCCTTCTTGGTTTTTATTCATTGCAACGCATATTCCTTCTGTAGATCTCCCCTTTAAATCCTATGTCAAAGGGACACTTGTGGACCAGAAAACCCATCAAACATGAAAGGAGTGTGCAAACGAATCATCAAGAAGCCAAACACCATGTTTACATTTGCTCTGGTATCAGAACTGAGCTGGACAACCATCCACTGATGAATTGCAGCCCATTCTGTGTCAGTCTGAAATGGAGATGAAAAAGGAGACACCTACTCCATGCCCATGGCACTTCTTGCTACAGCTTTCAGAATCAAAGATGATGGATGTGTTCTGGCAACGTCCCTCAAAGCAAACCTGCAGAGAAAGGATCCAAACACCTCAGTGTCAGCTCTTTGGGTTATGAACCATATTACTGTCTTTGTGTTACTTTGTAACTTGTGGGGTCCCAGACACTTTGACAATGTAAGTAATGCCCTGGGCAGAACAACAGGCCATGAAGTTAGCCTGGTTCCCAAGCAAACCTTTAATCCCTACTCTAAATCCCAGCTCATGCACATCAGAGAGAGGAGTGCGAGCTCAGAAGTCAATAGCTTGTGGCAAGTCTCTGAAGGAGTTCTCAGATGTCTTGATTTCTAATTGTGTGTCTTGCCTCCAAGCAAGAAAATCTCAACCACCTACTGAATCCCAAATTTATCAGTGGCCCTGGGTTTCATCTGACAGATGCTTAAGGTTTGGCCTTTGCTGTGTATTCTTCCATTGCTTCTTAGAAGCCTTCAATAAGTTATTTTTCTAGCAATCAAAAATCCCCTAGAAAGGCATTAGACAAAAAAATTAATGGCTTGATAAACACAATACATGTTCCAGAACTCTGAATGTCCCCCAAGCCATTACAGGCAGGACTATACCCACATGATGGCTCCCACACTTTGTTCCTGTCAACACCAAGCCAGGATCCAGCATCTCCTTTTCTTCACTCTCAGATCTGTACACGTGGGTCCCTCGGCACCTCAGCTGTCCCCTCTGCATGTGGATAGTCGTGTCTATGGCCACCGCATTGGACTGTAGGGGTTTGGAAGCAGAGCTCTGGCACTGGATCTTCCCGCATTTAGCATCCCTGATTTCAAAGGAAAGGCTATAGTGATTATTTCTGGCTTGTCAAATGTTTTGTAGGCATCAGCTCTACACGTAAGTTGAAGTAGCACTGTTGAGTCATTGTTCAATGGCAAAAGAGCAAGCACCTCTCAAGAGCTGGCCCAAGCACCAGTGTCTGTGGGTACTGATGGTACCATTTCACTGTCCCCACAGGTAGACCAGCCTCAGCAAAATCACAGATAAGACTAAGAAGGTTTTGTCTCAGTTAGAAAGTTAAACTTAACTTACAGATTTGAAAATTCCCTCTTCTGTTGCTTTGAAAAAATATCAACTAGGTGTTTTAAAAAACAAAAGCTATGGACAATGATCAACTTAAAGCTGCAGCTGTAAGGTCTGACAAGGATGCAGCTGGTTTCCCAGGAGGAGAGGGAGTGTTACCAAAGCATGGATCAGTTTTATCTACTGGCCCATGATTTTGTAATACGTAAAAACATCTCCGCTGCACAACTCTTGGCTGCCACTCTGCTTTCTACCTCATCTCACACTTCCTGTAGTTGCCGTAGAGGTCCTTCCCACAGTTCCCATAGATGTCTCCAGCAGCATTAACCTTCTCGAAGCAGGCGTCTGGTGCTGGTCTTGCTCCTGCACGAGAGAGACTCAAGTGGCTGATTCCTGTGGAGCCTGGCAGCCTATTTCATCCCATGCCAAGCACTCAGTTGTTCTTTTTATGGGATGGTTAGAGCACAGGAAATTTTTGCTGCCTCCTCCAAGTGAGCAACATAGGAGAAAAGGCTCCTCAGACTTTGCCACTGATAACAGGTATGGAGGGTACCTCATCCAGGGTGAATAATGGCAGGGTGACACACAATACTGCCTGTTCAAACCACAATGTATTTCACTGAAAGCAGTGTCCTTACCAGGCCCCCACAGCTGCTGGCACTGGTCTTGGTAGGTGAGACACATGCCACTGTAGCAATAGGCCTTTCCTCCATCACAGGAAGCCCCATCAATCTGGTAAGAGTTGAGGGGGCAAAACGGGGACTCTCCAGTGCAGTATTCTGGGAGGTCACAGAGTCCTGACCTTTCCCTGCAGAGAGTTCCTGGAGACATCAGCTGAAAAGATGCAAAGGGAAGAAAAGTGTATTATTGTTTGGCTCCCTTGTGGTTTTCATGTCTGCACAATGTCTCCCTGTAGATAAGAAAAAAACCTTGCATGCATCTCTTCATCCATTTTGTCATTGTTTTTTTGAGGTCAGTGGTGACCCAAGTAACCCTGTAACTTCATTAACAGGCTGAGCTGTGTAGAATCAAACTAATGACTGGATCCCTTCCCTAGGTAGCAATGAGATCATGCACAGAAGACGATGATGCCAGACCTCAAGGGGACAACAATCCATCTCCTCTACCCTAGGGTAGAATGTGATTTACCTAAACCCTTTCTGACAGATGTTTGTGTAATCTATTCTCAAAACCCTCCCTGTTTGGGAAGCTTGTTTCAGTGTTTGCCTGTCATTTCTGGCTGAGACATTTTCCTAATGTGTAATTTATGTCTCCCTTGTTTATGAATTTACCCCGTTCACTCTTGTCCTACCCACCACATGTTCACAGTTACATCTAGGAGGTTTTTCCTAAGTCTCTTGTGAAAGGAGTGAGTCCAGCTGAATCCCTGGAAAATTATTTTCCACATGCTCAAGATGGGTCAGTAAAAGCACCCAGTTAATGTGCAAAGAGCAACATTTGCCTCTCTTTGTTTTTTAGTTAATTTGTTGTCAAAACTTGAGTTCTTTGGCTCCAAAATTAGAAACACTCTAACCAGCCTCTATAAGGAAAGCTGAGATTTAAAGTAACAGTGGTCACACGTATACAATCCTCTTTGCTAGTGTTTCTTCAGCAAGCACCTGGGATAAAGGAATTCAGCTGCATCCCAGAAAAGAGGGTTCAGATCAAAGATAGCATCCAACCAAATCCCCAGAGAAAAATTTGCTCTAAGAGCTCGGTCTACACTTCTTCTAGAGCCAAAGGAGGGAAATATTCATTCTGATTCCTCCCATCCCTAAGTGTTTAAGAAAGGCAGTGTGATTTCATTCCAGCAGCATTCACAGCTCATCTTAAGTTATCAGAGGAATCAATTAGCTAGAAGAAAAGACTCCACTAGTTTGATTGCACTCATAGCTGTCTGTACCTAAAAACCCAGACTATAGTGCCTGCAGGTGAGGAGCTGAGCTCCATGTTTGGCTGTGTTTGCTTCTCTTTCCCCTCATTTTTCACTCTCACACTTCCACCACTGTTATTCCCTCTCTTCTCTTCAGAAAGCCCAGAGATCCCACCTTGCACTGATGACAGCAGCTGCCATGGGCACATTCAGCACCCAGCTTCAGGGTGCAGGTGCTGGCGTCACAGCAGGGGTTATTGCATTCCTGGAAAACAGCAAAACGCAGCAGAGTTTACAAGGCAGATGTTCAAGACAAGAATCTGCCAGAGCATCAAAGTGTGAGGCTGATGCTAATCTGTCCTCATCCATGATGAATTACATGCAAGCAAATTAACAGCCTCCCTGTATGTTCATGTGCTGAATTACAGTAGTGCAGAATTGTATCCTCCCCACTGGATAATACAGTTGGTGCTTGTCACAACTGGTGAATCAGGGCTGCTTATTCCAGCTCCTTCTTGGTCTTGTTAGTCAAAGCACACATTTGGAGAAGTGAGATGCAGTGCTAAGAGATGCTCCACCCTTCCCAAGACCAGAGCTGTAAGTAAAACTGAACTTATATATGGAACTGAAACATCTAAGATCACTTTTTCTTTTCTTTTTTTAAATGCAGTTTTCACCACCTCTGTTCAGCCATGGATTACACCATCCCAGAGCTGTGGGATGCATTGTACTACACACTGTGAATTCAGTTAGATGTGACACTTTACAACCCCAATTCACTTTGTGTATACACTTACATACAGGGAAGATCTGCATATCCCCCCACAAACAAAACCTGTTCAGACATCCCATAACCGTATTTGCAAAACACATAAGAGAATCACTGTGTCCCATTAAACCCCAAATGGTTGGATTTGAACAACTGTTACCTCCACCTCTCCACAGTCACACTCCTCCCCTTCTTCCAGGTAGCCATTTCCACATTTCTTCCCACCATACATTTTTTTGGTATCTGGCATATTGGAGAGACACATCCCTCCACCAGACTGCAGATACTTCTCCAGCTCTTTCCTATTGCACTGGTTGAACACCTTGGGGAAAGGGTGCCTGAATATCAACAGTGGAGAAAAACATCAAAACAGATCTGGGCAATGGTTTAGAGAACAAAAAGAGCATGTGCAAATCCTGACGAGTGCCAAAGGACACAGGTCTGTCTGAAGTCAAAGAACTTGTGCTAAAGCAGATCTTGATCGTGTGTGCCTGTTCCAAATCTGCTCTATCTGGATTACATCTAAAGATAAGATGAGCTTGCACTGCAAGACTGCCTACTAATATAACAGCCTTAAAAACTAAACTTTATTGAAACAAAGTAAGTTGAGTTAGATTCAACTTAGATAGCTGACAAGTACAGCTGTCCTTGCTTGCTCAGTACTGAAGCTGTGGCTTATTCCTGACTGCTTGAACAAGTCTGAAAATCCAGTGATCAGACTGAATAACTGCTTGTGAATATAACTGCTAAAAATAATGTTTCCTTTTTCCTATCTACTGCCTCGTTGCCAAGGATGTGTATATTTTATGTTATGTGAATTATTAATTTCTGTTGCTACAATGCCAGAACCTATGTGCTCTAAAAATGACTGTGGGTGGGTGTGCTCATGTTGTGTGTCCTACTTGCATGCCACTGTGTTTTCACTTCTGGCCTGAATGTTTTTCCTTATTTGGAGGAAATCACACACATAGAAGAAGATATCTACGGAGAGAATTTTGTTATAACTCACTAAACCTGAAGGAGGGAGGCTTGAGGAAACAGGGAACGTGGCTCTAGGTGAATGATTTCATCTGACGTTTTTACGTGACTGAAATATAGAAGCTGTTGTGGTTCCTCATCCAAAATGGGCTCTGGAATCCCTGTGGATTTCCACAAGGTCACTCTTGCTTCCCCTTTCTGGGGCTTACTGGAACCAAGCAGTATTCTTAAGACAACATCCAGCTGATCAATTTTCTTGTCTTCTGACTTAGAAATATAGTCCTATCACTGTGCCTTTTAATAAAAGCCAGTTCTTTCCTGAAGCAATCCTATTCCCCCTCATTACCACATTACAATGCACACTAGCTTTTGCATGAGATGTTTTAGAAATCCTATCAACTATCTGTCTCTTCATCTCATGTGCAATACAGAAATGAAACTCATGTAAACCTCCACATCCTGAAGTCACACATGTTCTGGTCACCCCTCATTTCTCTGTACTTCCTGGCAATAGGCAGTCCAGGTTCTACAGAAGGTATCTATATATGCATTGAGCTTGCTTTGGGGTGATGAATCATTTAGTATGAAGTTGGAAGCACAAACTCAGAGAAAGAGTTAGAGGGGTCTGAGACAGTCGCTCAGGACAGAAGCCAGACCAGGTAGTTTAGAGCTCCACTTCTAAATTCTGCCAGGTTCCTATACCTAAGGCCAGTCTCAGGCAGGAGTAAGTTCACTGGAAATTTAGCAAATTGCTACTGATACATGAGCCAGGTTTTGCACAGCAGTATTTTCTCTATAAACACAATGGCTTCAACAGGCAGCAATAGAGCTACCTTCAGTCTGCATTGCTAGCTCTTACTCCACCAAGGCCCTTGTAACAAAGCCTTTGGCATTTCTGCACAAAACTTTGCAAGACAAACTCACCCAGTTGCAGAAGCCATGATGCAGCCTCCATCTTCTGCAGGGGTAGTACAGCAGCCAGCTGAATCATGATTCATGCCAAAATTGTGTCCCATCTCATGGGCAATGGTAGCAGCAACACCAAGGGCATTATCAGAGTGATCCTGTGCAAGGTCAAAGAGGCACATCAGCATTTCACCTGTGCCTGTCCTGTGCACCTCTGAGTCAACAGGGTAAGCAGCACTTCTCATTACCACATGTAGAAGACATCTACTGAAGGTACTCCTGCCTCTAAGCAGTTGAGCTAGAGGCCTTCACAGGAAATATTTTCTTCCTTGTCTTTAGGAGACATGTATCGTATGTGTTCACTACTGGCAAGAAACATCATATTGTTAGCGACTACTTACCATGTTTACTCCTCCTGACTGGAAATCGGAGCACATGGCCATCACGGGAGCCAAGCCTATTGTGGTACCTTGGAAGGGCACACCCCTAAAATCAACCCAGAAAGACCATGAGATGGCCCCAAGGCACACGAGAAGGCAGGGCAGAGAAATGCATCCTGCACTCCACAGCTTTACACACAGATGCAGTGTCAGGTGAATACACTTTCATTAGCAGTATGTTCAAGTACAGGACATTACAGCAGAGTTACAAAGCCTTAAGACCTATTTTTCTTAGACTACTATTTTGTTTTATGGGCAAATCAGTCAATGCTATCTTTTTTTTTTTTATAATGGTCGAGTGCCAAGAAGTGCTCCTGCTGAGCTTTGCAACAAGCACAGAAAAGACTATTTCTGGATCCTCAATTTAGTACTGTTTGTGAATACTTAATTTACCTTAAGCCTGATATTTGCCAGCTTAGCATTCAGGGACTTGACAGAGTACTAGATAACACCTTTGAGGTGCAGCCATGCTTGGCTCCTGCCTGGAGAGCTGGAATTCTGCACCATCCCTGACAGCATATCCAAAATGGGAACCCTGGAAATTGTGCTCAGGACATGATCAGGTGAAGATCAAATACAGTAATGTTAAAGGGAAAGAAAAAAAAAACAAAAAACAAAAAAACACCAACAAAAACCACACAACCAAACCAAACCACCAACCAAACAAAACAAGGGGAAAGTCATTGTGTGTCTGCCTTTCAGTCCTACATGTTTCTTCTCTGACTCGCCACTATTGACTCATGAATGAATTTCCATGGAACAGATAAGGAGATCTAAGAGTGGCTCCAAATTTTTCTTCCAACGATATCTGCATTGCTGGCCATAGCTACTAGCCCTAAGAAGAGCAGTAGGATGAGTCACAGACCATCAACTACCTCCCAGCACCATGTGCCCTGCATCACAGCAGGATGAGTTAGGAAATAATACCTCCCACAAAGGGCTTAGCTCCCCCTTACAGGCCTTCCTTAGGATTCAGATATTCTTGAAATTGTGCATGTAGCTGTGACAGATCATGTGCAGCTGCTTGTTGCATGCAGACAGAATAAAGCTGATGTGCTTTGATGCATGTGTACTGAGACTGCTGCATAGCCTGGGACTTCCACTTTTCCTAAAGTGATTGTGCTCTGGGTGACAGAGCTTAATGGTGGCTGAGCAGCCACTACAAAAATCTGCCACTCTGAATTTTAGAACTATATAATCTTATGTGCTGATTTCCCTCCTCCCCAGGCCTCTCATCAGAAACAGGTTATTTCAGGAGAAATAAACTTACGTGATGAGTTGGGCATTATCGTGTCTTCTGTACACCCGCTCCTTGCTGCTCCAGGCCAGAAAGGACTTCAGGGTAGAGTAGGGATTCTCAGTTACATCACATTTATTCCAGTTGCTCCAGATCTCCAGCCCCACCAAGGCAATCCGGATATTCAGGGATCTGTAAAACTAAGGTAGAGGTAGGAAAAGAGTTGACAAAACGACCACCATATATTTATTTTACTGTGGTAAAATCTTGAATGTAAACCCTGCTAAATGCTAGTACAGATACACATGTCCCGAGAAGATGCTCCCTCTGGAAATGCATTCCAACTTAGCCTTGCAGCTGTACAGAGAAATGTGCACCACCCACAAACTTAAACTCAATTGAAACAGAGATGCTGCTTTCATTGTTAAATGTACGACAAAGAGATGCTCTAGAGAGAGACTGGAGACTGACATCACGTTTTTCTTTAAATACATCAAAACTCCTGAAAAGAGGAAGGAAATAATCTGCTGCCCTCACCAAGCACAAACAGGACAAGTCTTTAGGGTGGCAAGGTGAAGGGAGTGGTGAAAGGAGCTTAAGAGGACAAAGGGAGTATGAAGGGAGTAGATCTGAAAAGTGGTGAGTTTTACTTCAGCAGTACTGGGTACCACTGCAAGGATGACCTCTGAAGGCTCCTTCCAGCTCTACCCACTGGGATTTCTACAATGTAAACTGAGTATCTTAGTTCCTGGTCAAAAAGCATTCTTTAGGTAACAGTTAATACAGACATGTATTAAAACACAGATGCTCACGCTGGCTCCAAAGTAAGGAATGGAGATTAACCCCACCCATCTGTGATGTCCAACAACAGAATTTTTGGCAGATGTTCTCAACTCCAAGTCACTGGGGGGAACTGACAAAACCTTATGCTCTCTCCCGAGAAGGCAGTCTTCTGTCACAATCCATTCTCATCACTCACGATTTGGACTTTGCTTCATCAGTGCACACACACCTGATCTCACCTTATCTACATAATTAGCAGCCTCTACCAATTTAAGCCTTGTTGCTTCAATGCTGAAGTGATTCTTCTGAAACTGAACAAAATGAACACATCAGACAGTACAAAGGCAACTAGGAAGAGCTGAAATGCATTAAAACAAGCCACAATAGTCATAGGCAACTATGAAATGGAAGCCCAAACGTCTTCCATCACGGTACATAAGACTACAAGCCCACCTGTACATGTATACTCAGAGTTCATCCCTGGCATCCCACTGCAGTGATGTTACTCAAACAGCAGTAGTAACACAACAGAGCAACCCAAACTTATCAGAGGCCTCAGAGCCAGGGGCTGACAAAGAACTGACACATGCTCCAGATAAAATATAGGGTAACATGACTTCACGTCCAAGGTCGAGGCTGCCAGAGCGCTCATCACGTCTCACTCATCACTCATTCGATGAATTTACCAATTTAAACCACCTGACAATTAGTGAGTTAATTTTAGCAAATGGTTTGATTCAAGGAATTAAAGTAGAGAAATGCTTAGATATATGTTTAACAGACAACAAAACCTGGGATTTTTCTTCCAGCAAGGGAGACTGTAAAGACAGTTAATGGTGACACTGCGAGGTGTCCGAGCCTGTCTAACCAACTGGCGAGCAACATACGGCAGTTCCTGGGTACAGTGTGTTTGCTCCTGGTTCCCCTGGTATCCTGGTGCCTAACAGAGAACCAAAATAGGTTCTGCCTCTTTAGTTTTGTTCACAATAAATTATAGCCCAGAGCATTATTTGGCCTTCCCTACTGGAGTTTCAAGTTGGAAATTATGAACTGATCCCATCTATGCTGGCGATTAAACGATCAGCAAAGCAGCATGTGGTTTGCGCTGACAGTAAGTACAGCTGGCATGCTGTCCAGGCTGGGGATGGGGAAGGAATTGCTGATTTCACTGGGTCTCTTCCAGCCCTATTCTATGATCTGGAGCCTTAAAAATGTCTATTTATATATCTGCTACCAGCTCAGGGCAGAGGATATTCATGGTTATCTTCTCTAGAGATTAAGTGTACTGCAGAATTATAAGCACGTTGTTCCTGGAAACCCACAAGACACCCCAGGCTGAAGACAGTCTCTCCCAACAGCTAGGGCTGATCATGGGTACCCTGGGAGGCCAGAACTGGCCTCCACCCCTAGTCCTTGATCCAAATCACAACCTGCATCTCTCCCCTGGCCAACAGTGGTGGCACAGGGGTCATGGCTGCTAAAAAAGCAACAAAGACACACCTCTCCCCTTGTCTGCTGGTGGGGGTAGGACCTGGGGATGGCAAAACGGAATCTGTTGAGTTCCAGCTGCCATCCCTACCCCAGGAGATGCTGCAGGTGGGATGCTTACTCTGGGCCCGGTGCTCGGTTGGTATAAGCATGATCCCATTCCTTACCTCTGCATAATCAGCCACGAGCAGAAGCTCCACGTACTTCGTAGCCTGCAGAGTCTCTCGTTTCACCTACAGCAGCAGCAACACAGGTTATTTTTCCAATATCCCCCAACAAGTTCTTTGTACAGGTCATTTTTCCGTTTGTTTTCCACTGGCCATTGACCCGACCCCATCACACACAGGGACCTCCAGATGCGATGACTTGTAGCAATCAAGTATCACAAGTCAGTTTAGCTCCACAACAAGTGCTAATAATTTATTTTGCTGCTGGAGCCACTATTTGGAAATGATCTTGCTACAAACCCACTTAAATATCTTCCTTCATTGTCCTTCCTGAGCTATGCTCCTGAAGAGCAAAGCAGCAGGCTCCTGGGGCCTGGGACAGGTGGGGAACTTGGAGCATCATGCATGAACCCAGTCTGAGCCTTGCTCACCCGCTGGTGGGGTGGTTTCATCCCAGTGGTGAAGTCCCTGAACCAGTCTTTGGCTGCGTCCCCAGTGTCCTGGTAGCCACAGGCTCCTCTCTGCAGCCTCAGGTTGTCTAACCTGTAGATCAAGTGCTGATTGGGGCTGTCGGGAACTGGCTCTAAGATGTAACTGGAATTGCTGCTCAATACGATAAGTCCTCTGTTGAAACAGGAAGCAATAAGAAGTAAAGTTAATCACTATCACAGCAACCTGAGACAAATCCTGCTGCTGCTGCACTCCCATCTGACCCTGGCAAGGCACTTCTCCTTACCAGGCCATTCAGTTCATTAATAAAAAGGATGGGGATATTTCTAGTTCAGAGGGGCAAACCCCTGAGCTTGCATATATTAAAATCTATTCAGTATACCTCAGACATTCACTTAAGGTTATTGCAGCATGTGCTGCAACAGCAGTTGTAGCCTGAGAAGGGTTGATTTTTTTTGAAGTGCAGCTTTTTCTTTAGGGCCAGTGGAAGTTTTTCAGGCAACTGAAGAAATTAGCCTTTAACAGAACTGACCTAAAAAATGTGAAGACTTCATTTCAGCAGAGAAAACTACTGTTTTCTCTGGGACTTGCACGCAGCCACAGGGTTCTGTTTTTCTCAGTGAACACATTAAAGTCAGGAGAAATAAAAATCTGTGTTTGATGCCCACCAGAAGATGTGTGGCTTGATGGGCAGCAAATCTCACTGTAAAGGCTCAGAGTGAAAACAGCCACACGTGCTCAGCTCCTGTGCTATCCCAGTGATTAGAAAACCACGTTGAGGAGTTGCCAGCACACGATGACAGCTCAGGGGTGCAGGACCCCTACTGCATATGCACTCTGAGACATCTGTATCTCCCCTGTGGCAGAAGCAGGTCACGCCCATGACAACTTCTGGTTTTGGATTATTTATTGCAAGTCACAGGTGGCTGCACAGTCCTGTTTATCTCGCTGGGCTCTTTGGCCTGTGCTACATCCACTTAAGATGTCTCAGGTTTGCTTTGGCACAGGCTGTTTCCTGGCTGGAGCCAGTCCCATCAGCACAGCTTCCAATGGGTGCTCAAGAGCAGATGACCACTAATGTCAATAAAGCCCATGTGGCGTTTTGGAAACAAACTCTGAGCTGGTGTAAATGAATGCAGCTCCTTGGTCACAACGAGCTGTTTCATTGACTCCTGCTGAGGATGCAGAATGTCTTTTCCTGCCAAAGACTCCATTACTACCAAAGGGAAGGTTTTAAACCCATAATACACACAATCCCAGCACCACCCAGGGAGAAAGCCAAAAGTGGGGCTTAAAATCCATCAGGAAGTTCAGACTTAAAGACTTCGCCTCCAAACACACAGAAGGAATTGCCAGTTGTGAGGGGCTGGGAAAAGGAGCTGCTTTCTGCACTAGGGTAGAGCATTGGGCTGGGATGTGGCAAGTCCTGTTGCTGTCTCTAAGGGATGCAGCCCCAAGACACCAACAAAAAATTCTTTTGCTCCAGTGGACTCCTCAGTTAAACTCATTTATTGCACGAGTTCATTCCATGCTGCCAGCACAAAGGTGGAAGAAGTCTAGGAGCTGGCTAGGAGGCCACAGCTACTAACAACACCCACACTTCTGCATGTCCCTCCACACGCTCCCTTTCACGCCCAGGACTCTTGGACGGGTGGCGTTTGAGAGCAGGTCTAAGTGCCCAGGAAGAGGTGGAGCAGGCGTGCTGCAGGGGAGCAGGGCTGGCGGGCAGCAGGGGGCGGAGCCGGCAGAGCCCATCCCGCAGCCCCGCAGCCCCGGCACTTACCGCAGCCCTCGGCAGGCGCTGAGCACCACGCTGGAGCCCGCACGGCCCCGC